CAAAACCCCAGTAGATAGTTGTATGTCATAGTTGCACATCCTTCTAGTTGCTGTATGTGGGACGCGGCCTCAGCATGGCCGGAGAAGCGATGCGTCGGTGTGCGCCTGGGATCCGAACCCGGGCCGCCAGTAGCGGAGCGCGTGCACTTAACTGCCAAGCCATGGGGCTGGCCCCTCTTAATTTTAAATAGGTATACATCCCAGAAATACTGGCACATGTGCCAAAAAAGCCACATACACAGATGAAAAATAAGCCACAGCGTTATTTTTAACAGTGATATTTTGAAAATAACCTAAATGCCGATAAACGGAGTAATGGTTAATGTATACACATGCTCTGTGTAGCAGAGTACCTGACCATCCTACCTCCCACTACTCTTTTTCTCTGGTCCTATCCTCCTTTGGGGACACTGTGTACTGTGAATAGGCTTGGTGGAAGAACAATTCCCAGGACTCTCTTCATCCTGTTAGTTCCCAGTTTGGAAATTTAAAAAGATCAATTGTTCCTCTTCAACCACTTGGTTGAATCAAGAGGGAGTCACTTGACATAAATTTGGCCAGTCAGATGGGACTTTAAATCTTGAACCAAGGCAGAGCCAGAGAATAGTTGAAGATCAAAAACTTGAGTGGTGACAGTGATGGCAGTGGTAGGTGTCTCTGGAATGGGTGGCAGCTGCCTCCTGGCCTCGCAGTTCTTGCCAAGTGACAGCACTGAGCCTCTGTTACTTGGCCCACCAGAAAGGCCTTGGGTTCTGTTATTAAAAACATTGAAGGGAGGCCCCAGCAGCAGTCCAATAAATAGACACATTAGATCTCTGTGAATTGCAAGGAAAGTATCCTAACAGATATGCTGAAGAATTATATGCAGTCTTAAAAAAAAGACCATCAGGACATATTAGTGAGTGGAAAATCAAATTGCAGAGCATTCACTCACTCAAGGAATATTTATTGAGCTCCTCCATTTATTAGTCTCTGTGCTCGGAGTAGGGCACATCTAGTTCCTGCCCTCATGGAGCATTATTTAAAACAGCAAAATATTGGAAATGAATTGAGCGTCTAACAACAGTAGAATAAGAAATCTGTAAATTATGGCACATGCATTATATGGAAGACCTAACAGCCATTAAAAATAATGATTTTAGTCAGTAAATATACACTATCAATATATATATTTCATATACTAATTTAAAATTATTATTTACAGATTATGAATATATATTATATATTTATTATACTTAATGAACACAATAAATAAAAATAAAATTATATATGCAGTATATAATTTGCATTCTTTATATATAAATATATGTATTTATTTATATATAAATATATGTATTCTTCTTTATATATAAATATATGTATTTATGTATATAATCTTTTTATGTATTCATATATCTTTAAATATATATATATTTTTTTAAAAATTGCATGTGACCAAAAGGAGGTCTACTATACTCAGATATTGACAGGACTAATTTCTGAATGGTGGAGTTAATTTTAATTTCTGTATTTTCTAAATTTTGGCAATTTGCACATATTGTTTTTATAAACAAAAAATTTATAAACATAAAATTATTTAAGGAACGATATACTAAAACGAGTGAAATTTCCTAGCCCCATTTTACACTTAACCATATTTTTGAAATTTTCTGCAATAAGAATACACTAGCTATATTAATAGATATATCTATACAACATATATATAAAGCACACATATGTTACTGAGTTAAAAAAATTTTATCATCTTGCTTTAATACATTCCCAGCTCCTAGAGTCGAGTCAGAAGTGTGTGATCTATGCTAGCCTGAATTTCCCTTTGCTGGTCCTGAGGTATAAGAAGTTACAGAAGTGACTGAGAGCAATAGCTTGGGCTGATGTCTCTACCAATGCCAGGTTGGGAGGGGATAGCAGAGTTCTGGTGAAGTCAGCTGACACAGGTGTAGTATACAAGAGAGATGGCTGCATTTCTGGCCTGAACCATCTTTAAGTATGCTCTCCATCCGTAAGTACATTCCCTTGTGTCTTGTGTAAGCATACCCAAGGTGGGATGCATAGAGCTTCTAACACAATCTCTTTTGTTTTGGTGAAAACAAAACAGGCAAAGTGGGGCCTCCTCTCAATATCATGCTGGGCGCATTGAACTGCACGGCTTTCAGCATCCAGTGGAAAATGCCAAGGCATCCTGGGAGCCCTGTCATTGGGTATACTGTGAGTACCTGAGCATTGGGGTTTTTGTAGAGGGTGTGTTGGGGTAACTGTATGCCCTTCCCATCTTTGCTTCTCATATATATGGCCTCCTTACATCAGCCCTCTCACATTAATAACTGCCCCACTCTCCCGCCGTGAAACCAGAGGAAATGTTTCTCTTTTAAGGGCGCTTGTAAGTGCCTTGAAAATCAAGGATCTACCTAATCCTTGCTCTCTTCAGGGATGGGAAGATGTAGACTAAGTAGAAGACATGGTTCCTGCTATCCAATTGCCCCTCCAGTCAAATTTGGAGACCAAAGCAGAAACATGGGAAAGAATAGAGAGTCACTGTGGAAGGTTGTCGATAAATACAAAATAATGTAAAATCTGAATTAAAGTAAGGGGTGAAGAGGCAAAGTGGAGGAGAGAGCAGAGAATGCATCCCTACCTCTCAGAGGTTACGGACTGGACTGATTTCACTTCACCAAGATATTTTCTTTGAACAGTGTTTTTAAAAAGTTGACTTTTCGAAGTCAGGAGATTTCAGATAAATATTTGGAGTTCTGAAATCTCTGGGAGTATCGGGAGAGCTGGCCTCACTGGGCCCACACTCCCATGGGGCACCAAGTCCGCTGGAGCTGAGCTGCCAACTTTAGATTGGACCTACGCCCCCCCGCCCCGCCCCGGTAACACCCCAGACTGGCCACCTCCTACTGTTTCCCTTTCACCAAAGGAGAGTGGCCATTTCTCATGGCCCTGATCCTATTGTCTTCTTAAAGTTGAGAAATGTATTTCTGGACTCATGTTATATCAAAAGTGGGAAAATGAAAGATTACCGGAGAGTCATGGTTTTGGGAAAAATAATAGGAGCTGGGGGTCCAGCCCCCTCCAACCCACCTCACTGATACATGCCTTCCTCCTGGCCTCTGCAGGCTTATGAGTTTGTGACCCCAGCAGAGTATGTCTGATGTTTGTTGCCATGGAACTAGTGTGTGTGAGATGAGGCAATGCACCTCAGAACCCATGGCGGTTCTGAGTGCACTTGGAACCACAGGACCATGGTTTGGTAGAAAAGTACTGACTCTGCTCTCACCTGGATGTCTGGATCTTTTCCAGGTCTTCTACTCTGAGGTTGGCATAGATAAGTCCCTGCAGGAGCGGTCCCAGAATGTGCTGCTCAGCCAGGGCACCCCAACCACGGTGAGTATCTCCATCCTGGCAGCCCCCCTCAAAAACACACGGGTGCTTGGCATGTCAGCGATATTTGGAAGGATTTCTAATTTGATGTGTGTGTGCTGCTGTATATAATAATAATAATAATAATAACTAAAGTTTGTATAGTCCTTTGGAATGTGTAAATGTCTTTCATGTAAATTACCTCATCACATGTGTCTATATCTCCAGAAAGGCAGCTGTACGAAGAAAGAGTCCTGGGCATAATTGCCTCCATCCTGGACTCAGCCCACCCATTTATCATGTGAGAAAACAGCCACCGTACAGGGGTTTTTTAACCCTTTTTTTCATAAAGTTCAATTCCAACTTTTTTGAAACCTCAATAACGCTTTGTAAATAAATACAACACATTTGTATCTTCCCAACTGCCTGGAGACACAATGCAGCAGAAAATGATGTAATTTGAAACGTATATTCAAAGGGTCCAAGTTATTTATTTTTCTACTAGAGCCAGGCACCCTGTCCTTCCACTAACCAGTTGTTGGCTCTTCATCTATTTTTTTTCTGTTTCCTGTTGAGGTCTCTGGGTGAATTTTTCTGTCTTAGGCATGTTCTGTTTCCTTTTCTTTCACTCTCCTCCTCCTTCCCCCTTTTACTGTAATTATCCTACAGGCTAGAGCCTTTTGAATGGCTCTACAAGGAGTTAACACCAGTGCCCAGAATACTGCTATAATGGTGGTGGTGGTGATGTTTATAATTCCTATTCAATAAGTGTCTGTTGTGCATAGCACATAATTTGAAACCTATTTGTCATCGGTGATGAGCAGCTATCACTTACTGAGCGTCTGTTACCTGTCAGGCACTCTCCCTCATGCTTTACACTGTTTTTCCATTTAATCTTCATGACTATCCTATGACCTCATTTTACAACTATCCTAGTACCTCTCTTATGCTGAGACTCAGAGAGCTGAAGTAACTTTCCCCAAATCATACATTAGCAAGTACCAGAGTAAACCCAGGGCAGACACTTCTGAGCCCTGCTTTGGCTAGGAAAGTACTGGTTGAGGTTCCATCTCCCCCTGACAGCACTGGAACTCTCAGCAAGTCCCTGGACCCCACCAAGGGGCTGGCATTGTCCTGAGCAGTGTCCCCAGCCGCCCAGCCTTCTGTCCTGCAGTGAGTGTGGCTCACTGCTCTGATTGGAGCACAGTCCGGGCAGAGGGCACAGTGCTGGTGATGGGTGTCTTGGAGTCTGGATGGTGCCTCTGAAATTAAGATCCTGCCCCATTGCATGAACCCAGGCTGGACGCTGGTATCCCTGGAAAGGCCATGGCAGTGCAAACACGGAGCAGAGGGCCTGGAGGGAGACAGGCCCCCGTGGCTTCTAGACCTCCTTTCTCCACTTACAGGTTGGGTAACTTTGGCCAAAGTCACTTAACCTGTCTTCGCCTCACCTTTCTCCATGAAAGGGGTATAATAATTACACTGTTGTGAGTGGCAAATAAAACTGTGAATGTAAAAGCCTTTGGTAAAATGTAAAGAAGCCATATAAATGTTGGTTATCATTCCTGATAATCATTGCCTTTATGTTAAATATACTCTCTCCATTAATTACATCCAGATATTAGAATATGCTATCAAAGTATAGCATTTTATTATCTTGCTGATTTCAACAAACTTTTATGGTTGTTACTATACATCCAGCACAAGATAACACACAATCACTGTTCTTGGGCAGCTTTCAGTCTTATTGGGAAAACTACCTTTACACGAGTAAAGCAACTAGAGAGCAACATAAGACCAGATGTCATTAACATGCCGCTTAATAGAAAGACTGAGATTTTGAAGAGGGAGAGATTATTGTAGGAACAAGTGGTCAAGAGGTAAAACTTGGAGCTGAGAATTGAAGCAGGGGCAGTTTCTGGAAAGGCAGAGGAGAGAGAGGGACATTCAAATGGAAAGGAATGGTTCGAACCAAGGGAACGAACATGGATGTGTACATGCCCGTGTGCTTGTGTGTTTGGGCGGGGTGGGGGAGGTGTGGAATACACAGACTGGAGAGAGGAAATAATGACTAGACATAAGGCCATGAGTCAGAAAGGAGGGAGGGGGCGGGGCCTGGTATAGCACAGTGGGCTCGGGGTTCAGATGACTTGCATTCAGATTCCTGTAATAAAAGAAACCAGCTGGGTAACCTTACTGGGTCTCTGTTCCCTCATCAACAAAACAGGGATTCAAATGGTACCTATATCATGGGTAGTGTATTTGTGGTTCCCAAACTGTGTGCTAGGGTGCTCCAGGGCTCTGCAGCAAACTCACAGGGGCACTGTGGAATATTTGAACTTTTCAAGGAAAACAGCAACATCGGTGTGAAATACTACTACCAAGTCGTTTGGGTATAACTACTGAATGGATGGAACTGGGAGGCATTTCTTTTGGATTAGAGGTGCTGTAAAACTGCTACTGAGACACTAAAGGTGCTATGAAGAGAGAAAGTTTGGGAACCTCTGTACTATATCATATCATCCTGTAGCATAAGGAAGCTGTGAGCATTAAATGAGCTCACGGTCGTAAAGCCCTCAGCACCGCACCTGGCACAATAATAACTGAGTGAGTGGGCGGTGGAATTCATATTGAGAAGCTGTGTGCTTGCTGCCCTTTGCTGTATGGCGCAGAAGGGCAGCTACTCTTTGGGTTCATTTTAGTCTTGCAACTTTTCCTTTCCTTTTCATGCTGTTTTGTTTTTTCTTCCAGGGACAATCTGATCATCAGATGATTTTTGTAAGTCGGTTTTAGAAAAGTTAAACCCTTGCCCCAACCCAGGATTCAGCGGGGTCTCTTTTCATCAAAATGTTGATTTTCCTGCATCTCCCTCATACCGATTAAGGCCCAACAGAGAGAGCTTAGTTGTAGTGTAAGCAGAGAAGTCCAGGTGAATTTTTAATCTTTTAGAAAGAATCTGCTTTTGTCCTCATATGTGCTGCTTCATCTCACATGGCAGAGTAAGGTTAAAAGGAGCATTTTTAAAGCTTGAAGTAATTTAAGCTCTGTTCCAAGACTAGGTGAAAAAGATGGAAAAGAAGAGAAAATATGTAAACTGGTGAGCACCACTGAGGGAGTGGTTCCCTCCACTTCCTTTTTTCTTCTCCTTTCTCTGCTTCCTCTCACCGTTCCAGACCTTCTCTCCAAGACAGGACTGCTCACCTAAAACTAGTCGATTGACTTTCTGGATTGAATGCCAAACAGAAGATTGGGTTGGTAAATGGTTAATCTGACTTAAATGATGAAATGACCAAAATCACCTGGCCGATTATGTGGAATTCTGATGCATTCTCTGATAATCTGCTGATATCGAAGCTTCTGTTTGATTAGCATTTGACACTTACATTTTTCTTGGAAGAACAACCTGCAAGTTTCATCTTGGAAAAATAAATAGTGAAACAAATCAGAGTAATTTGATAATTTTTTTAGAGTCAAAAGTAGAAACAGATGTTTAAACTGGTGGTCTCCACATTTTTTGATCACGTGTATCATCAGTTAAAAAATATTTGAACATGTACCAATATATGTATATTTATGTATTTATAAATTATACATATGTTACTCTACTAATATATTAGGTGCATTATAAAATCCCACAGAATTTTAGAGGAGAAGATAAAACAGAAATAGAAAATTCTTATGTTTTCTTCGAGCGTCTCAGCAGATTGTCTTGCTCACACAGGGGGATGCACCACCACTGTGCCTTGGAGTCTACTGGTCTGGTTGATCCTGAACAGTGATTCTATTTGGGTCTTATCCAAGGTTAGAGAGAGAAAATTTACCCAGGAATCATGAGACTTGCATCTAGTCCCAGCTCTGTCATCAGAGCAGGGGTGATCTTGAGCAAGGTCACTGAACCCCTCTGAATATCTCTTTCACTATAAAATGAAGGGGTTGATTGGAGATGGTTCCCAAATGGGAGTTCCTTTGTCTCCTATGGGGCATATGGAAATATGTTTGGGCATTTTAGTGGACAAGCTTCAGGGATGCTAACTCTCCTGCAATACACAGGACAGACCCATACGAGGAAGATTTGTCCAGCCCCAAAGCCAATGCTGCCCCTCGTGTAAAACCCTGGAAGATACTCTAACTTTCTGTGACCACTCAGGGAATGGAAATCCCTCCAACTCCTCCCTCCACTCTGGCCTGCACAGCGTTCCGAGGACCATTGGGAGAAGGATATTTGGAAGATGGCACTTTTCTATTTCTCTAGTACCTTTCATCTAATGTTGCTAGATATTTCCAACTTCCACTAAGGCAACTGAGGTCCAACCTTTATTTATAGAGTCAACTGTGAAGTTGAATTCAAGGTTACTACCTATCAATGAAGGTTATTTTAGAAGAATCATAGAATTTTGGTGTTGAAAGTTTGGCCCAGAAAAGTTAAGGGGCATCCCCAAGACCACACAGCTATATGGCCTCAGAACCTGGGTCTCCTGGCTCCTAGTCCAGTGCTCTCCCACTTCATGCCTCCTCTCAGCTGTGCTCACTGGATGCCCTCACTGTGTAGTAGCTGCATATCTGGACTAGTGAACAAGACAACATCCAGCTTCATTTGTGGAAACAAATGCCCTGGGGTCCAGCAGTGGGAGAAAAGTGCAGCATGGAGGGGTAAAGGTGAGGTCTGAAATCAGGGTCAGATATTTAAGTTCAGAACCATTCAGCATGGTTTCATCATTGCAAAATGAACAGGTATTCTGTGAAGAATAGTCCTATCTTTTCAGGGGCTCCTTACATAGCTATCCAGGTTGTTTTTGTACATTGTGTCAAGTATCAATTAGAACAAATGTCTAGTGGTCTCCAGATCCAAAATAACGGTAATTTTAACAAGATGTGCATTCATGTTTCCCTCCTTTAACTTTCTGGATATAACCAGTTTAGGGCTCTTCTGGTGGCTTCCTTATGTCAGAGACCCAGGATCCTTCTGTCTCATTGCTCTGCAAATCCCTCCGGCCCTCCTCCCTGAGTCCAAAATGTCTCAGTGC